TGTGTTTAAATCACTACAATCGGTGAAAGAAATGGTGGTGGATAAGGTAACAAAGGATGGTTATGGGTAGAAAATAAAATGAAAGATGATGGATTACAATTTACTAAAGAATAGTTAAAACATAAATGGGATTGGACGAAAGATCAATGGAAGTTATGGAAATATTTAAGAGGAAAAGAAACTGATTAGGTTGGGATTCAAGTAAAAATACAATTGCAGCTTCTAATGAGTGGTGGAATGAAAAAATTCAAGTAAGTTGCATGTATGTGACTGTTTATATATAATAACAGATTTATTCACTTTAATAGTCATGTTATTTATGATTGATTTTTTATACATTCATATTTTAGGAAAATCCAAGATTTCGTGAAAAAAACATTAAAAAGAGCTTTATGAAAAATATGAAATCATATTTATAGGAACTGTGACTACTAGAAAGTTTGCATAGACACCTTCTAGAGTATTTTTCCAATTATAATGAAGATGTAGAATTAGATAATGTTATTAATTTGAAAGAGAATGATGAGAGAGAATCTGATTTTGAAGAGCATTTAGACAAAATAATGGATTCGGGATCAATATTAGGTAACACAACTGAAAGTGAAAATACTGATCTTGAAAATATTCAAAATATGAAGAAAGGAAAGAGGGTAGACTCATGGGTTGACCGTGAACAAAGAAAAGAAAATGCTCTAAAGGAAAGAATGCTTCTGGTACTACACAAGTGTCTAATACAATTAATGAACTAAAAGAAAGTATGAAAAAGAAAACTATGGTGATGCGTGACCTTTTAGGAGATCATCTAGGTTGTTCTATTGAAGAGATCATGAAAGATATACTTTCTTTGCCATAAATAAAGGAAGGCAGTGAATTTCATTTTTTCTACACTCTTTTGTTTGACAATAAGTCAAAAAGAGAGTGTATGATACTAGATGCATAGACAAAATGGAAATGGCTACAATACCATTGTGCTATTTGGAGTAGCAGTTTATGGAAGCCACGTGCATAATAAATTACTAGGCAAAAATCTTTGACTTCTTTTCCCATTTTATAATAAATTTGAACATTAGAATAATTTTTATTTTTTCATGTTTGAACTTAAATTTGATGAATGTTAGTTTTTTTACTTCATTTATATTTGAATTTAGATTATATTAAATGTTGATTGTCAACTTTAAATTACACATATTATAATTAATAATAGAGTTGCATTTGATATTTTTTATATTATTTTTGTCATAAATATAGATATTATATAACACATAGTTCTTGACGATGATAGTGATGACGATCAAGTATTGGAAATGATAATATCTATTGTTCAAAATGCACATCAATATTATTTGAGACATATTCATAAAGAACCTTGTACAAATTCATTTCAAACAAGAACTATTTGATTATTGGAAGTAATAAGAAGGAATGAAAAACTTTGTATTAATTTATTCACAATGGATAAATATATATTAATAAATCTTTGTCAAAACCTCGAAAGAAATTACGGATTAAATTCTTAAGTAGAATGTATGTTTTGGAGAAAGTTGGTATGTTTCTTTATACTCTTGCTGTAGGTGCTTCAAATAGGTATGTTCAAGAAGGTTTCAACATTCATGTAAGAGAGTAAGTAGAAATTTTCATAAAATATTAAAGGCAATAATGCGCTTCTCAATTGATATAATAAAGCCTATAAAGACTCAACATTCAATACTATTCCTTCTGAATTACTTGATGATGATAGATATATGCCTCATTTTAAGGTATTTTAATATTATATTTTTTATTGTAACTTTTACATATGATAATATCTTATAACTTTTTTTGGGTCAAAATAGGATTATATTTGTGCAATTGATGACACTCGTGTACCAGCTTCTATTAATGAGGAAATCCAAATCCGATTCAGTGGTAGGAAAGACGTGCCTACACAAAATATTATGGTTGTTTATAGTTTGGATATGCAATTTATATTAGTATTAGCCGGAAGGTAAGGTACAGCCCATGGTGAACGACTTTTTCAATATGCAATTCACAAGAGATATTTGAATTTTCCAAACCACCACGTGTTAAATATTTATCAAATATTATCTTTTAAAGTTCTTTTATTAAATAATTTTTAGATGCAAATTTTACGTATGTGCAATTGATATGTCTTTTTTATTATATACTTTTAGCATGTAATTATTAATATATATTTATTATTATATGCAGAAAAATACTATTTAGTAGATGTTGAATATCAACAAATGGAAGGATATCTTGGATCTTATAAAAGAATAAGGTACCATTTACTAGATTTTCAACGTGGTGGTCAACCTAAAGGCTTTAAGAGACTTTCAACCGTTGGCATTCGTTTTTTAGAAGTTACATTGATAGAACTTTTGTAGTTTGGAAGGCAAAATAGAAGATATTATAGTTGATGCGTGCATACTATTTCATATACAAAGGGATATTGTAATTGCATCTATGGCAATCCATAATTATATTTGAAGAAAAGCATTTGCAGATCCAGCATTTATTCGATTGGATCAAAATCCTAATTTTATGCCACCTGATATATTTAGCAATACAAATAACATTCAACTAGAAAAAACTTAACCAGAAATTGAAGCGGTTCACATGAGTGTCTTACGTGATCAAATTGCTCATAGTTTAATGCAATATATATATATATATATATGTTTTATTAATATGTTTATCAATACTAAGATATATCATTTTAGCAATACGCTCATAGATTTTATTAATTAAGATATATAGTTTAATTAATTTTTTTATTTTTTTCTTATTTTTTAATTCATTAGAAATAGATTAGAAATATTTTTAATTTTTTTATTTTTTTCTTATTTTTTAATTCATTAGAAATAGATTAGAAATATTTTATATATCTATTAAAAATATACTCTTATTGGTCATTTTATGTATTAATAGTAACAACCGATTACACCTTTACCAAACACTCATTGTTCATCCGCTATCAGCTATCAGTAATCGCTATCAGCTCTCTGAAACTGTTAAATCAAACAAGCCCTTAGGTCCTTTTATCAACACTTTTAGTATTTTCGTCTATAATAGCCTCTTTCACTATCAAATTGACTGAGAAATTGGTCCTTAAATTATAATCAAAATAACTATAAAGTTCTTAAATTATAATTTCGTTAACAGTTTGTTACCTTTGTTTAAGAGGAAAGAATCCAAGTGTTAATGAAATCATAAATTAGAGACCATAAAATTAGTTTTTGAAAATAAAGCTCTTCATGTGTCAATTTGACTATAACTCAGAAACCATTTTCTTCCCTTAATAAATTATGGATTGGTGCTCAAGGAATTAAAAGTATTTGTTCCTATTAATACGATAAAAAAGAAATACATAAAAGAGACTTTTAAACTTTGGAAGCTTCAGCTGACTTGTTTCTCAAGTTTGAAGAAGCTAGCCGTCTTAATATATCCATTATGGAAAAATATACATCACAAGGCTCCAATCATGATGACGAGATTTTTAAAAATAATAGGATTTTTGGATTTTTGGGTTTAGGTATTTAGGATTAGAGTTTAAAATTTAGATAGTAGGATTTTGCATGTATTTATTTACAAAAAATAATTTTCTGCTTTCTAAGAAGCAGTTATCTTAGAAAATAAAAACTAGAAAACAGAGAAATGGAAAATGCGTTAACTTGATAACAATAAAAATCATATTTTAATTTAAAAAATTTGCAAACAAATATTCGTAACTTTCAAAATTAAAAGAAATAAAATATTATAAAACAAATTTAGAAAATTTTTATTTAAAAAATTTGAATTTTTATTATTGATTATTTATAATTTATTATTGATTATTTAAATAATGATATCATTTTTCATCATTTTATAATTTTTTTAAAAAATAAAGGATTAAATATATTGGAATAATAAAAATTAATTTATATAAAATCAATAAATTTTTATATTTATTTAAATATTTTTACTTCTCAATTGAAGTATTTATATAAAAAATTATTTATAGATATTATATTTTGATATGAAAAATATTCTTTTTTAAAATGAAAAAAACGTATTTTTTTTTATAAAAAAAAAAATCTTCTGCAAAACAACTTAAAGCTGTTTCGAAATCTTAGTTAAATTTTTGGAAAACTGTAAAACTATTTTTCTAGCTTTTCTATTTGGAATAATAAAATTAATTATATAAATCAATAAATTTTTATATTATTTAAATATTTTTACTTCTCAATGAAAGTATTTTATATAAAAAATTATTTATAGATATTATAATTTTGATTATGAAAATATTCTTTTTAAAAATGAAAAACGTATTTTTTGTTATAAAAAAAAAACTCTGAAAAACAACTTAAAGCTGTTTTCGAAATCTTAGTTAAATTTTGGAAAACTGTAAAACTATTTTCTAGCTTTCCAAACAGAAAATTGATTAATTTGAATACAAAATTTTATTTTTCAATTTCCTTAGAAAACTTTTCTAGAAAACTACTCTATTTTTCTACAAGTGAACACACTAAGAACACACTAAGATTTTAGCGTTTAGGTTTCATTATATATTATTTACAATTTAGAATCTATAATTTAAATTGGAAAAAAGAAAAAATTGATTTCTGAAATATAACAAAATTAATATATAAGTACCTTTATTTTCAAAAATTAATTTTATGAGATCTCTAAGTTATAATTCCATAAATACTTTGATCCTACGGAAGGACCGAAGTTTTAATGAGATTATAAGTTTAGAACTTCATAATTAATTTGCTTCTAATTTAAGGATAAATTTATATTTTTCACTTTAAAATCCTTTTTTTACAAGATTAGTTTTTTTCTTTTCTCATCAATTGACAGTTAAAAAAAGTTATTTTGAATGAAACCAGGAGAGTTAAATAGAAACAAAGTGTTCAAATAGGGGTATAAAATTTAGTGCAATTTTATTATTTCTGTTTAAGGAGTGCCCCGTCTGTCCTGTGCGTATAACCCTTTCATTTAATTGAAAATAAGATAGGTATGACCTTACCAAATTCAATAACTAGAGAGGATATAAGTGGAGTTTAATTCAGAAATTGAGGGTATATTTGGAAAATTAAAGGTAACGCGACTTGTCGAGTTGTATGAACCCTTCATCTGTTTCATATGTGAGGCAAAACATTAAGATCATAAAACCCTAATCCCAAAATATCTCTGTAAATTGTTATCCCAGCTGTAATCAAAGTAGGAAAGCCTTTCTGTTCCATCTCTTCGCGTTGTCTCTAATCTCTACGATTAATAACAGGTATGGCTCTGGCTCTTGAATGTTTTTGAATTGAAATAAGCCGAACTTGCGTGATTGTCCTCTCGCTTTTTGCAGATACTTGTATCTCTCTCTGCTTGTTTGTTGTTGGGATAAGCTGAGATTATTTTCAATAATGGCAACTAGTAAGTTCTTTTTCTTTGGGTTATTTGTTGGATTACATGTAAAATCATATATGGATTTTGAGTTTTTTGTATTAACTTCGTTTGTGTGTCTGCAGGGCTTATGTTTGAGAACTCATGTGAGGTTGGAGTATTTTCCAAGCTCACCAATGCTTATTGCTTGGTTGCTATTGGAGGCTCTGAAAGCTTCTACAGGTTTTTCTTTATTTTTATTTTTTTTGTTTTCTAGTCGTTTTAGAAGGGTTCCTTTTTATTTCTAAGATTGTTAATTATTTAGTTATTGTTTTTGTATTTAGCACATTTGAGGCTGAGTTAGCAGATGTTATCCCAGTGGTTAAAACTTCAATTGCAGGCACTAGGATTGTTGGCCGTCTTTGTGCTGGTATGATTATGTTTTTTATTGTGTTACTCTCCTTTTATTAAATTGCATTTTTATTTCTTTACAATGAAGGTGTGATTTTTTTATATTGCTTTGTGCTGCCACGGCAGGTAACAAGAATGGGCTTCTCTTGCCCCACACCACCACAGACCAAGGTGAAGATTTTATATTCACGGTTACTGTCTGTTTTCTTATGACCTCCACTATTGTTTTCATTTCATTGAAAGCTCTTATTTTACATACGGTTTGATTATGGAAATTTTCTTTAAAAAAATTCTAAGTTCTAATGTTGCTCTGGAGTTTGTTGCTAGGACATCATGATCTGCTATTTGCTCATATCTGTCTTCTCCTGTCAACTAACACCTTTTTGGTTGTGGATAATGAGTTATTAACAGCTGTCTTTTTCTTTTTCTTTTCCCCAGTATGGTTTGTTAGATGTTTTCGAGGAATATTGTAGATGGTTCTCCAGTGAATAGAGATTGAAAAAGGGCTTAGATTCTTGGTTTCTTTTTTTGTATTGTTGTTGCCTTTATTGTTTTCCTCTTTTGCTTCAAAGTAATTCTAACTTTACTTTAAGTGTAATACTCTGCCATGATTACATGTTATCTTAATTTGAATGCTGTTGGATATACAATATCAAATAGTGTGCATTGATTTTCATTAAATGTGGTATTCTGGTTGGTTCAAAAATGTGGTTTAGCACAATGCTTCGACCCTTTCCTAGAATTTGAATTAAATGTGAAATCAATGATTTTGAGTTGCTCCATCTAAGAAACATTTAGTTCACTATGGTCTTTGTTTGAGGTCATGACAACAGAATTCAACTATCAGATCTAGATTTTGTACCAAGAAGTCCAATAAATTTAAATTTCATATTTGTCCATGTAGTTTTGATTTTCTTATTGACCTCCCAACTTATGTTTTCTTTTTCCTTGTTGAAGAACTTCAACACTTGAGAAACAGCCTACCTGACAATGTTGTGGTTCAGCGCATTGAAGAGAAATTATCTGCATTGGGAAATTGTATAGCCTGCAATGACCATGTTGCTCTAACACATACAGATCTTGACAGAGTACGAGTTGTTCATTTTTCTTTTTTTTGTTGTGTGTCATCCAAGATGTTTATTTTTGTATGAGAATGAATTTGATTTGGTAACCTGATGTTTGGATCCACTGATTGTTATTTTACTATTTTGAAGTCATAATTTTTGTTCTTCCAACTTGAAGAAGTTATATCTTAAACTGAAAAACTATCACATCTACGTCATAAATCAATTGCAGACCCTGCATGCTATGCCATGTGAAAGATGGTTGATGAAATTCACAAAAAGAGAAGTGAACAAAAAAACAACTGTGTTCATGAACAAAGCTTTTAAAATTTTAAATTCCATCAGTTTTTTCCTCCAAATAATTCTTGAGATGAGAATTGAAGATCGCCTTCAGATTCCTGAGAGAATGAAGAGGGGACTTGCCAGATTGTTTGACTACATGGTTCCATAGTTGTATCACTGTTTGTTGGTGCCTACAAATTTTTCTGGGTACTATTGATATATTTGTTTGCTAATAGCGGTTGTGTTTCATCTTCAACAGGAAACAGAGGAAATGATTGCGGATGTTCTTGGTGTAGAAGTTTTTAGACAGACAGTTGCTGGTAATATTCTTGTGGGAAGTTATTGTGCATTCTCCAATAGAGGTGGCTTGGTAAGAACTAATTTGCCAAGCTGGTTGTTATTATCAATAAATGGAGTGACCAAGTATGCTTATCAATTTGTTTAAACGTTTTTTATTGGAGCAGGTTCATCCACATACATCTATAGAAGACTTGGATGAACTTTCGACCCTCCTTCAGGTGCCTCTAGTTGCTGGGACTGTAAACCGTGGGAGTGAAGTAATAGCAGCTGGCATGACTGTGAATGACTGGACAGCATTCTGTGGGTCAGATACTACGGCTACTGAGCTATCTGTCATTGAGAGTGTTTTCAAGTTGAGGGAAGCTCAGCCTAGTGCTATTGTTGATGAGATGAGGAAATCATTGATTGACAGCTATGTTTAGGTCATCAATGTTGTTCGATTACCAAAGGTATTAATGTTATCTTAATTTGTCTTATAAAGCTGAAGTAATGATATAGTTTTGTGTTCTAAACAGAAAGTGGATCAAGTTTTGAAATTCAATTGTTATTGTTGGTTGTTTAATAGGTATTTAATGTCTTGTTATGCACGAAATTAGATCTAATGGACGAGGCAAGAGCGGAAGCTCTAGAATGTTTCTTGCTAAATACAAAGAATAAATAATGAAAGTAAGGGTTGGCTTTTAATGGTTTTGGGAATTTGGTACTTTTGCCAATAGGGTGGAAAGAAAATTGAGTCTCGGATGGGACGACTTTCTGCGTTTTGTTGTCAATTGTTAATAACTTGAACCTGTTATTATGGCTTTTTTGTGTTTTCATTTGCTTAGTCTTAAATGAATGTTTGGGTAAATGGTATTTCTGCTCTGAACGCAGTAAGCCTCTATTTAGCTGGGAGGTTGAAAATTTTCAATTGCAGGAATGTGTACAGATTGAAATTGTGATCCATTTTTGATTGGTAATAACTTGTCGATACCATCGTTGATTGCCTATTTGCTTTTTGGATAAACTCTTAGGTGCTGCTTGTTCGGATTGAATGACAGTTTATGACTCCCTTACAGTATTCATTTAGATGAAATAAGCTAAATGATATAAGCTATTTGGATATGACGGGTAAAAATCGGTTCTTTCAAGATGCTAATTTTTGTAGCTAATTTGTAAGTTATTTAGCTTATTTGACCAAAAGATAAGAACGTCTTCTAACAGTAAAAATGATACCCTCAGTCCTCGAATGAATCTCTTGACTCACCATCTTGTTGACTGGGTTCACGTGGTTTAGCATTTATTTATTGACATGCTTATATATATGTTTGGTGTGTTCTGAAATGGAGTTCTATGCTTGCGGGTTTGATTCTATTAATGGAGGATTATATAATTTTCATGTAGTGTTGAACTAAGTTCCTAATTAAATTTTTAGCTCTAGCTTGCAAGGCTTGATTAGTAATAGTAATCATTTGCTTGGTCAGAGTTGAGTAAGAAGGAAGAGAAGAGGCCATATATAATATAATTTGTATGTTGGTAATGTCTCGTTTTTTATATATTTTAGAGAACAAAAGAAACCCAGTGTAAGAATTTCTTTTGTCTGAAATGCGTTTATCTTATTTTTCAAAAGCAATTGAGTTTACTGTCAAAGTATTTTTAGTGATTAAATTTTTTTTTTTTTCACCTTTGGTACTATTGATAGCATTGCATCTCAATTCTCAAACTTTATGTACAACATGTATTTGGTATATATATTGATAATGTAAAAGAGAAAGCAATATTTACATACAATTTTAAAAATTATATCTATGCAAAAAATTGATAGAGACAAAGTGAAGGCTTTTACAAAATTTACAAATTAGTTTTTTTGAACTTGCATTGCACGTTTCTATTCATTAGCGATAATATTTAGGACGATGGTATTTCTAATTTTTGAAAATAATGTTTTAATTATTATATAATAGTATCGAGTTAATTATAGTTTTTAATGTTATGTTTTCAAAAAATCTCACAATATAAGTAATTTTATTATTCTTTCATATTTGATTTTATTGCCATAATAATAATAATAATAATAATAATACATATGTCATGATATGTTTTCATGGCTGGACCGCATTAGAGCTTGGTAAGTTTAAGACCGTCGAAACCCGTAACAAAACTGAAACCCGGTAATAAACCTACAACGATTAATACTCATTTCAAGTCCATTGTTACGAGATTCAATTATCATATTTATTCATTATATTTGTTACAAATGTCTCTATATATATAAAATTCTGAAGCAAAAAAATATTCAAAAAGCTTACTTAACACTCTCTCTCCTTTAAGCATTTTTTTTTCTTTCTTTATAAATTTGCTAATTTTTAATGCATCTGTAATTTCTCCTCTTTAATTTTTACTTAATAATATTTTCTTTGTTATCTGTCACTAATGATATTATTTTTTATGTGTATAAGTGCAGACATAAGATATATCATGTTGATGGAGATAAAATGAATGAAAAGCTAACTGTAAATCCATTTATGTAAAATCCTTTATGATGAAAAATGCAAACTAGCTTCATTAATAGAAAGAAGAAGGAAAGACCTTTAACTTGGAAAAATAGGTGAGGCGGAGATGAGCGCTTGAGCTTGGTGAATAGTATCAAGTATTATAAAAATTATATACAGTCATATGAATAAATTTTCTTTAATTTCTATAATATCACTCCAGACATGTAATGTCATTTAAGAATACATCACAAGTAATATGCAACATTTAAATATAATCAAACGGGTAAGGTATTGGTTTATGGAATCGCAACCAGTAGACCTACCATGGCTTCTAATACTTTCATATTGTTCATCTTCTTTCTTCCATATCTTGTAATCCATATTTTGGAAGACGCAGGTCACATTCTATATTTCATCTTTTCCCAAAATCTACTTTTTACATTTGTGTTCCTCTACCGGGATGCGAGTCCACCCTAATTACGGACAGAAGGAGCTCATCGTCTAATATATTTGAGTCAAGGTACCATTATCTTGATAGTCTTCATCATTTGCTTGTTCTTACTTTCCATTCTTTTAACATCTAAAATAATGATGAAAGTTCATAGATCTAAAATAATGGTGTCATCGAAAATCATATTGAGGATGATTCAGTAGCTTTGGAACCAATTACGCGAAAGGAAGCACTCATAGCGGCAAAAACTCTTCACAATCTTTTGTTCCATTTCGAGAAGATGACACCAGAGCTTTTGAATGCAATGAGAAAAGTTAGAGATAATATCCATCTAGATTTAGATTTCACAAAAAAAAAAAAAATAAAATAAAATAATAGATTCATATGTTACTAAATTGCTCTAGTTGTATTTATAATTTCGTAGAGTTATTAATTTATGATAGTGACGAGATAATAGATTTATATAATGGTCTTCCTAAAAATTATTATCTTATTAATTTATCAAAATTACTAATTTTGTAAACTTGTCCAAGTTGAGACCGGAAAAAAATATATTATTTTAGAGAGCTTATTAATTTATCGAGTATTAATCTATGGAGGTTTAACTGTAATAATAACCAGTCATTCAACTTCAAAATAAGCCACATGCACACATACACATATAAATGCTAAAATGCAATTAGAATACATGGTTGGATGTATGTATATATATTAGTGAATATTGGTCATGATACAAATAAGTAACGGCCAAATGCATACATTTGACTCTATACTTTTGAAAAAACTCTTACGGCACCTCTATCTTTACGGAGGACCAATTGTGCACATCAACTCCATTTCGTTGTATCATTCCTGCAACTCTCCACGGTGCAAACCAGATAGCGTGGATACAATCGCCCAAACGAGCGTTAATTGAATTTACGAAGGCCAACTTGGAAAAACCTTGTCCAGGTTGGCTCTTAGTACGTGGAAAGTCTCCTTCCAATTCACAACCACTTTCCCTCTTCTCTTCTACCTAAACTAGAGTTTTACTTGTAAAAAAGCAACCTGCGATCCTTCTGTCCCTCTCTATCTCAATGACTTGAGTGCAAGAAAAATTAATTTGGGCTTCTTCTTCGTGAATTTTTGGAGGGAGATATTTTTCATTTTCAACTTTGTCATCTTCGTATCTTCCATAGCTTTTGTTTTGCAGATTTCGGTTCTTGAAGAGGTTCTTGAAGAGTAAACTCTTACTTTGTTGTTTTGTTTTGTTCTTTTCCTCTATAATTCTCTACTTGTATATAGAGATTTCCTCTGTTCTTCATCTCTTGACTTGAACTCTTTAATTTTTTTTTCTTTCAATTTTTGTCACTCGAAGCTAAAATTTTCTACAAAAAATCCAAATTTCAATCTCAGCAACAAAAACACAATCTTTTCAATTTTCCTTTGATAAGAATAGGATCTCTTTCGTTGGTTGAATCTCTTTCTTTATTGTAATCAACAACTGGCAGCTTATAGTCCACCCTTTCAAGAAAATCGTCTTTTTCTTGCTATTGTTTTTCTTTTAAAACCCTTCTGCTTTATCGAGTTGTAATTGTTTCTACTTCCTCAATTTTTATTTGATAAAAAATATGATCTCTTCCTCAATTAATAAATCTAAAGCAATCATTAAAATAAAATTGATACAACAAAGCTGCAGAAAAACCCAATTCATGAACCCAAAATTCGAAATTAAATAGTGTCACTGTAGCAATTTTTCTCACGTCGGCGAGCCTTCTCTTCCGGATATGCATATGTTCATTCAATCCAGTCGTGTGACCTCCCATGTGTGCACCGCCTCACCTTGAACTCATACATGCAAAAAAGATCGCACAAGAAAGTATCCACAGCAAAGTCCAGATCATCGCCCAATGAATCAGGCTCGTTTGATGGTAGGTAACAGTGGAGTTGGGACCTAAGATCAATGGTGGCATTGGTTGTGGAAAATAATGCTAAGTTGTCCTTTTTATCTTTTACTTAGCTTTTTTTTTTTTTAAATTACTGATTTGGAAATTAAAATAGGTTCCACTTTCAATTACTTATCCTACTCAGCAGGTTTGTAATTCACGCACTTATACTAGATTGGAGAAGTGCTTACTTGGTGTAAAAAAATTAACTAGAGGTGCCAAATGGTTCCATGCAAAATTGGGTGCCGTGTAGTTATTTTTTAAAAGTTCAGGGGGCAATCTATATCTTTGGCCAATAAGTAATCAATGTAGTGACTTGTTATAATCTGCAATAACAGGAAACAATCAGAGACAATCTAAATATTAAAAGGAGATATAGAAATATGAATCAAGTTAAAATGCTTTCTAATGATTTCAGCCGAGGTTTCGACAATATCTCCTCTAAAACTTTGGTAAACTACTTATTTGCAAGTCATATAAATTAATATTAATCACATAGAGTCAGTCCATGAATATCTAATTACAATCAATCCCATCCTTTGTTTTAGTTCAATCTCATTCACAATCCAATTTCCATACTAATGTTATTTAATTCTAATCATAATATTTAAATAACAATTCTATCTGTTCACTCAATTCTTAACAAAATAAATACTTCATCCGTTATCTTTATTTAGAGAAAATAGAAAAAAGTTCATAGATTAAAAAAATTAGTTAAATGGATTTTTCTCCATAAAAAGCCCTTAAGAATAGTTCATTTCTTCATTAATTATGGGAACAATGGCCGACACAAAAGACAATCCCAAGAAGTGCATTTATTCCCTACTTGCATCCTTT